TTGTCAGTGTCTGATTCTCCCACTCTCTATGTGCTCCCAAAGTTGTCTCTCACTCTGAGGATGTGGTTGGCTGACTTCAGATGCTTTGACTTATGATTCCTCCCGGTTCTTAGGTCTCCAATGTAGCTAGTTAAACCACTGGCTAAACTGGTTTTAACTGGTTAAAACCACTAGGTTTGCTTTCAAGATGGTGCCTGACCACCATCTTCTGAGCCATGGAGAATGACAGAATGGAATTCCTCTCTTGCCAGAGAAGTCACTGTCTCATCAGAACCCTCATTTGGATTTGAGGCTTACAATAGCTGTGGACTTGTCCAGTGGGTGGCACTACAGGTCTCTTCACCAGGCACTTTCAGTAGGCTCTGCTTCCCCTCCTGCTACTGAGGAGCAGTGTGGCTGGAGCCCCGTGCTTCTTGCTTCTTTTCAACAAGTTTCCCCCTGTTTCTGCACACTGCTCTGCTAGCCCATCACTCTGTAATGAGGTCCCAGCACCCTTCTCCTCTTTCTTCTTTTGGAATAGAGTATATTTTTTTATCCTGACTCTTCTGCATCACGTGGAACAGCTTCTAATGTGCCATCTCACCAGGAAGTCTCAAATCTTTTCAAAAGTTAAGAATAAACTACTTGGTTACCCACAATGTTTAAATCCACTAAATTATGAAGCACCCTTCTAGAAGCCAGCTTTTCCCCATTTCTGTTTCCCTTCTAATACTGTGGATATCCTGATGAGGATGAATCAGCAACCATCGTCCTCAATGTGGGCTATTCAGAACTTCATGTATTTCTATGAGTTACTCTGGAGTGGAAAACTGACATTATGAATTCTAGAATTCTAGTGAGACCCTGGCTAAAAGTACTGACTTTGGAAAACTTTAAATAATATTGAAACATAATGACACAGAGGGGCACTCCAACTAGCAAAATATATTTAATATTGACAAGCCTCTAGGCCTCCCATCACTGCTTTCCCCCTCTCCACAGAGGGCTGCTGGTTTAATGAAGCCCCTTCCAGTCCACATGGCCACCACAGTGATTTACTGTAGTGTCTTATACTTCCATGTCACCATAGAGTGGAGCATTAGAGAGAAGCTTAGACTTTTAGTTGATAGAGAGCCAGTTGAAATATCATTGATAGAATTTTAGTTTTAGGAAAAATTGGTTTGATTTCTAGCTAAAGTGACTATTAGGTATATAAGCTTGGGCAAATCACTTAATCTTTGAGTCTAGTTTTCTCACAAAATGAAGACATTAGGATAAATGGTTTTTGAATTTCCAGGTAGTTCTAGAGTTCTATATTTCTACATAGTTGAATTATTTTATCATGCTGTTGTTGGGGAATACAACTAACACATTGGAAGCTACCAATTTTATGTCAAGCTTTAAAGTCCATAGTTGTTATCCTCAGGAAAATATTATTTGACCTACAGTATGCCTAAATCAATTTAATAAAATCTGTTTATAACAGGAAAAAACAGTAGCTTACTTAGATTTAAAAAGCTCTCTTCTAGTACTTTGGCAGTAGATCCAGTGGGCTACTGCTTTCCCCCAGCTGGGCAGTGTGGAAATGTGACCTGCATTATTTTAGCAGGGCGGGTGAGCTTGCTCACATGAAGCAAGCGCTCCTCTTTTCAGTGGATGAACTCACTGAGGGCCATGTCCTTTAGACTGGTGCTTTGTGAACACAGGACAAAGGGCATCGGTACAGCAGGCAACATGTTTAGGCAAGGAGAAGGAGCAAGAGAGTGCTCCATCCCTGTTAGGCCCCTGTCAAGCCTAGAAGACATCCCATGGGGAGTTCACCCTATATCTGTGCAGAGACAGCCTGAGCACAGGTTGGATGACATTTCAGTGGGTCCAAAGTTTCATAAGAAGGTGACAGAAAACCAAGTTGGCAAGCGTGGAATTCCAAGTTTAATCACGCTGATAGTCCAGGTTCATTGATTATGATCTGGTGGAGATCTTGTTTCACCTTTGCAAGACTGCTACCCAGTCATCAGTGTTGTCTTCCTAACAGTGCAGGAGGAAGGGTTACTAAAACAGCCATGTCCTCAAAAATGCTGTTACCTACAAATAACATTTGATGACATTAGATATCTTTTTTAAATGGTTATTTTTCTTTATTCTCTGTCAGGATTGGATTAATCTGTGTGACAAAATAGTTGGGGAAAAAAAACTTGAAAGATTTATCTGGGGCTCATGATTACAGAGCTTCTAGGAGGGTCTCTTAGCCCCCTCACTTTGGGCCCATGGCGAGGCAGAGTATCATGGCAGGAAATGTGTGGCAGAGCAAATCTACTCATCCTATGGGGAGAGAGAGGAGAGAGAGAGAGAGAGAGAGAGAGAGAGAGAGAGAGAGAGCACAAATATAGCCCTCTAAGGGTATACACCAGTGACCATCTTCTTCCAACCCAGTCCCATTTCCTACAGTTTCTACTTCTAAACACTGCTGTACCAGGACCCAGGCCTTTGACAACATGAGGTTTGGGAGGATTTCAAATCCAGACCATAATAAGAATGATATCCGTGAGAAATATTTGATCAATCATTTAAAAATAAATTATAATTTTAATAAATAATCACATACCTGTGCTGTCCTAGAAAAATGCCACTGTGCTTCATGCCCATTTAGCCCGAGAAGGGCTCCCTCCTGTTTTTCATCCTCCTCTTCGCTGTTCTTTTGTCCCCTCCCCCATACTTCCCATTAAATGACTGTATACTCAATTTTGTATTCCAAATGTGTAATTTTCTAAAGGATTTTAAAAAATATTTCATTTATTACTTTTGCTTTCTGTGTATGAATATATTGCCTGCACGTATGTAAGTGCACCTGTATTTTTCAATGCCCAAGGAGGTCAAATGAGGGAGTTGGATTCCCTGGAACTGGAGTTTTGATGGTTGTTAGCTACCATGTGGGTGCTGGGAATTGAACCCAGTTCCTCTGCAAGAGCAGCCAGTGCTCTTAACTCTTGAGCTATCTCTCAGGCGCCTTCCTAAAGGACCTTGATGATATGCTTCATCTATTTGCTTATAAGATGGTTTTGATGGTCTGATGAGCACTGCAAAGTCTCCAAAGCATCCTTATTACCAGCAGTTTTAATTCTAAGACAGGATATGAAAATATAGCCAGAATTGGCTGGGGAAAGCATCCCACTGTGGATAACAAAGCCAGAGGGAAGTTCTGGTAGGTCTCATTAAATAGTTGTAGGAATTGTTTAAACATTTCGCCATTACTTTTAAGAAAGAAAAGGATATATTCTCAAGTGAAAATAAGACTTGGGGTCAGGGTAAGTGGGAAGACGGTTGGTGCCGGGCAGCGGAAATGGCATATGCAAAGGCTTAGCGACTTCAGAGTGTGTGGGCCTATGGCCACAGGAGGCATCTCCTTTGAGAAACTGATGACTACCTGTGTTGGAGGCCATTGTGCCTCCCAGGGAGCACCTACCTGGAGGAGAAAGTCACAGAGAACTTTTAAATTGTCCCAAGAAGTTTTGTAGAAAGCATCTTTAGATGCTACTAAATGGTGACCTATGGCAGAGATGAGTTAGGAGGATGCTGCAGTGGTCCACGCCACCAGTGAATGACCAGGGCCTGGGTAAAGTTGCAGCAATGAGAGAAGTCAGGAGGACTTATATTCCACAAGTGATTCAAAGTCAGCCTTAGTGGGATGTGGTGATTAGTGAGACCCAGAGTTCTCAACCTGGCTGAATGAACAGATACCTAGGGAGTCACTAATACCTCACCCCACCTACCCAGATCAGTGAATATCTTTGAGGATGGACTGATCTGACATGATGTGGAGCTTCCATGTGAATGACACCATTAATAAATAAAGGACTGAGAGAGTTCAGAGAAGAATCTTGAGGAGTAAGTATGCTCTGTTGAAAGTGTTCAAGATTTGGCTCAAGAACAGATATCAAGAGCCAAGACCTTCCAGCATAAATTAAGAAAGCAAAGGATATACTCTCAAGTGAAAATAAGACTTGGGGTCAGGGTGGGTGGGAAGACGGTTGGTGCCCAGCAGTGGAAATGGCATATGCAAAGCTTGGCAACTTCAGAGTGTGTGGACCTACGGCCACAGTTGGCTGTGGCTTCTTACAGAAACTGTGGCTAAAGAGAATTTGGCAACTTAAGAAGGAGTTGGGAACTTTGGAGGGGACCCATTCCACTAGAGGCTATTTCAGAAGCCAGAGTACAGTGTGGTGCAGAGTGAAGTGGGGGCGGGATTCAGTGTGCTTTACAGGCTTTGACCTTGAAGGGAAAGGAGGGAATGCCACAAGACCAGCTTTAGCCAGCTTTAGGACCAGCAGGACATTCTGTTCTGTTTGTGAATGCCATGAGGTCTGGATATTTGTGATGCACTTTAAAGTTAACTGAGAACGTATATTAATATTAAAGTAAAAAAATAGGAAATAGAAAATAGAAAAAAACAAGACATCATGTTTTTATGTTTTTGTTTTTAATTAGCACTATTGTTTGTGAATATTTGATGACTGGCTTCATATTGTTTCAAGGATGGTAATGTTGTTGTCCTCAACAGCTGTTGCGATAATCCAGTCATTCAAGTTATTGAATGTGCTGTTATTATTTGGCAAGAAAAACATCTGAGAAGGGATTTCTTTAAATGAACTATAATTGGACATGCAGAAATGTCTTAGTTATCAGAATGACTCCAATGGAAATAATCTGTGAACTTTCTTTCTGAGCCCAGGTAGGCTCTGGGATACAACAAACACAATCTGAACTATACTTTGATTACGTATTTACTTAGTAATTCATTGTCTTCTCCCACCAGCTAATAACTACCACAAGGACAGAGCTCTTTTCTGTCTTGTCACTGAATCTCAGCATTTAACGTGGAATCTGGCTTACAAAGGCAATAGCTGTTTCACAAATAAACAAGTGAAACTTTAGTAGGCATGTAATACTCAGTTTTTGTTCTCATTTTTTCTATGAAATTTTCTTTGTCTAATGATGTCCTTTTCAAAACAATAATTTTTCAGGTACTTCTATTGTGACTGTAAAAGCTTTTGCTCCTGTCTCAATTCAAGATACTTTGAAATACTCAATTTTCAGTGGAAATGAAGATGAAGTTTTTGCCATGGGCTCTAACTCAGGTAATTCTTGTTCACCTAATGATAACTTTATTTTCTGTCTAATTTCTGTTTCATTGAATGTTACTTGTGATAAATAGTTCAGCAAACTTTGGAAGATACACTGCAGAAGAGGGCAGAGAAAGAATGTAAAAGCCAGAGGATGGGGAGGAGTATGATAAAATGCTGTCTTCTGGACATTATATGGCTGTTGCACTGTTTACTTACAGCAGCTGCTGTTGCCTGCACCAGACCTGCACAGGACTGGACCTGTCAATAATTGATCGTGGGTGGGGAGGGGATCATGAGTTCCCACTCATCTCCAAGGAGCTATAAACAATTAATCGTCCTAATCTTCAGTGATTTAGCCACTTAAGCTGCTTATGCACCAGTAAATAACCCTCAATCATGTAAAAAACCCTAATTAAGCATAGTGGATCACACTCACAGAAAAGACATGTTAGTAGGAAGGAGATTTGTTCATTTGGGAGGAGAAGTGTGACAGGCATGGAAGTGGTAAAGAGAGGGTAATGGATGGAAATATGATACAAATTCTTTATATGTACGTATAAAATTGTGAAAGAATGAATACAGAGCTGGATGGTAGACACTGTTCACTATGCTCCATCTTTAGTCTTCCTGAGATGTGCTGCCCACCTTCCTCTCTTCACCCATGGTGGCGCTAAAGGGCCAGAAGTGACTGACAAACATCATCACTACATGACATAAAACAAAAATGATTCGGCCTTCAGTGTTTCACAGGCATGGCTATGGTGGAAGGGAGTTTAAATGCTGTAAGATAACATAAACATTTGTCACATTTTGCTTTGGGTTCCCACAGGTGCTATTCATAGTGTGTAACTGGCTGAAGCATACTGATTACATTATTATATTATCAAGCACACACCATTTGAAGAATCTTGTGTGTGTGTGTGTGTGTGTGTGTGTGTGTGTGTGTGTGGTGTGTTTGAGACAAGTTCTCATTCTATATCCCTGGTTCAGCTAGAACTTTCTATGTAGACCAGGTTGACCTTGAACTCACAGAGATCCACCTGCCTCTGCCTCACAAGTGCTGGAATTAAAGGCATGTATCACCATGCCTTGTCTATTTGAAAAGTCTTAATTTAATTTTGGTGTGTATTTTATAACTCAAACAAAAGCTATGTGTGTATATACTGAAAAATAATGTGTGGGTTTTATTCTGAGGCTAATACACAGCTAGCCACATAACATATAAGCAGAATTTTAAAGTGGCATTTGTGAAACTTTTTGGCACAAAAACACGTGGCTTTCTACACAGGCCAGTAAACAAAGAACAGTAGTACTTATACTTCCCTGATGGTTACATCTCTAATGTCTCTGAGAAAAATGTACATGTCAGCTCCCTGGAGCCAGCAGCTTGCCTGGGTAAGTTTGGCTGTGCCTACTATGCCTTGACACCCTCAGCCTCATTCACCATACCAGCTCTCCCACCCCATCTCTCCTCCTAGCAGGGGCACTGGCCCATCTTGTTGTGGCACCCCAGGCCTCTGGACTGACCTCTTAGCCCAGAATCCCCACTGCTTCCTGATCTTTTTGTCAAGACCAACCCAATTCCTCCCTGCAGTCCCCAGGAGCCCTCGGGCCTCTTCTCGCTCCCACCTCCCTTTGCATTCATTACTGGAGGACAGCATCTTTCCTGGGCCCTGCTCCCAGGCAAGCTGAGCCCTCAAATTCCTGAGACTAGCATCTTTCCTGGAGGGATCCATACCTTAGGAGAAAGCCTGACAGCATCTGATCCTCATCTGACTTGGGCCTCTGTGAGAACTCCTGAAGACAAAACAATTTGGCCACTCCAATATAAAATCAAAAGAGAGAACCGGAAGCCTAGACCAACCAGCTTTTCATGCCCCAAAAATAAACCACAAAGGCACATAAAGTTTACAAAAAGAAGCAGACCTAAACTTGAAGGCTTGAGTCTCACACAAGAATCAGAAAGTACAAAAGAAATTCACATGTCAAAGTCACAGATAAAAAAAAATAATAACATGAAAAACCAAAATAACATAACCCCACCAAATACCAGTACACCTCTAGAAGAGTACAATGAGAACCCCCTAGAGATAATGCAGGACGTGGAACTAAAAAGAACAATTATAAACATGATAAATGAATTCAGTGGATTTAAAGAACACACAAAGAAATCAAATAACTGAAGGAAGATAGGGATAAATTTCTGAATTAATTCAGAAAAGAGTTAGAAATATTGAAGAATGCTCAGGTTGAAATGAAGAAGGAAGTGAAACACTCAGTAAGCCAATTAGAAATGACAAGAGAAAGCCTCCCACATAAGATGAATGAAATGGAAAACAGAATATCAAGACTGGAAGATAAAGTGGATGAATTAGATCACTCAGGCAAAGAGTATGAAAAATTTAAGAAAACACAAGAATGGAATATGCAGGAATTTTATGACGCCATAAAAAGACCAAACTTATGAATCATAGGCACACAGGAAGGAGAAGAATCTCAGGATAATGACATGAATGAAAACCCTTTAGGATTACAGCTGACTTTTCAGTGCAAACTACGAAAGCCAGAAGAGCCTGACCAAAATATTCCCAATTTAAAATGACCACAGATGCCAACAAAGATTACTTTACACAGCCAAAATGTCTATTATAGTCAAAGGGGAAAGAAAAATCTTCTATGACATAAATAGGCTGAGGGAATTCATGTCACAAAACCAGCCTTTCAGTAGGATTACAGCTGACTTTTCAGTGCAAACTACGAAAGCCAGAAGAGCCTGACCAAAATATTCCCAATTTAAAATGACCACAGATGCCAACAAAGATTACTTTACACAGCCAAAATGTCTATTATAGTCAAAGGGGAAAGAAAAATCTTCTATGACATAAATAGGCTGAGGGAATTCATGTCACAAAACCAGCCTTTCAGAGAGTTCTTGAAGCAATAAAAAAAGCTGAAAAAAGGAAGGAATATACCCAAGAGGTTACAGAAAGAAACTTAATGAAGGTATAACTATGGAAAGACACAGCTACACCAAGAATGTGAACAGAAATAAAAATGATAGGAATCATACACATCTTTCATTAATAACTTTATCAACAGACCAAACTCCTGGTCAAAAGACACACATTAGTTAAATGGACTAAGAAACAAAACTCATCTTTTTGTTGTCTGCAAGAAATTCATCTGACTTTCAAGGACAGGCACTTCATTAAAGTGAAAGCATGGAAAAAAATATACCAAGTGAATGTTACTAAAGAAAAAGCAGGCATTGTAATTCTAATATCTGACAAAAAAGACTCTAAACTAAAACGAATCAGAAGAGATGAAGAGAGCCACTTCATTCTGATCAAAGGAACAATTGACCAAGAAGATACTACAATCATGAACATATATTCACCAAACTCTGGTGCACCCGACTTCAGAAAATCAGTACTACAGGACTTTAAGACCCAGATTAATCCCAACTCATTAATAGTAGGATAATTCAGTACCCCATTGTCTCCATTAGATAGGTCAACAGGACAGAGAATTAACAGAGAGACATCTGAATTAAACAATGCCTTACATCAAATGGGCCTAACTGACATCTACCAAATATTCCATCCAAGGACCAAAAAAATGTACTTTCTATTCTGAGTCCCATGGAACTTTCTCCAAAATTGACCATATACTGGGGCACAAAACAAACCTCAACAAATACATAAAGTTGAAATATTTCCACGCATTCTATCAGACCACAATACAGTAAAGCTTAAAATCAACACTGCAAGAAACTCTAGTAACCACATGAACACATGGAGATTAAACAACACACTCCTGAATGATGAATGGGTCAAAGGACAAATTAAGAAAGAAATAAAAGTATTCCTGGAACTAAATGAAAAGGACAATACAACACAACAAAACCTCTGGGACACGTTGAAAGCAGTCCTTAGAAGGAAGTTTATAGCTCTTAGTGCCTACCTCAAAAAAATCAGAAAGAACACAAATAAATGACTTAACATTGCAACTCAAGACACTTGAAAAGCACCAGCAAATGAAACTGAAACCAGGCAGATAAGAAGAAATAACAAAAATCAGAGCAGAAATTAATGAAATAGAAACAAAGAAAAGAATACAAATAATCAATGAATCCAAGAGCTTGTTCTTTAAAAAGATAAACAAGATTGACAGATGGCTAGTCCAGTTAGCCAAAAGAAAGAAAGAGCACAAATAACAAAATCAGAGATGAAAGGGGAAACATCACAACAGACACCAAAAGAACCAGAACATTGCAAGGAAATATTTTTAAAAACCTATATGCTTTTATTTTTGTCTGAGTCTGTGTTACTTCACTTAGTATAACAGTTTCTAGTAACATCCATTTACCTGCAAATTTCATGATTTCATCTTTCTTTGCTGCTGAGTAAAACTCCATCGTATATATGAACCACATTTTCATTATCCACTCATCAATTGAGGGACACTTAGGTTGCTTCCATCTCTTAGCTATTGTGAAAAGAGCAGCAACAAACATGATGTACAAGTGTCTCTGCAATAGGATGAGTTCTTTGGGTATATGCCAATAACTGGGTCAAATGGTAGGTTCATTTGTAGTTTTTTAATAGTTCACCACACTGCTTTCCATAGGGGTTGGACTAGTTTGCAGCCCCACCATCAGTGGATGAGTGTTCCCCTTTCCGCATATCCTCTCCAACATTTGGTATCATTTGTTCTCTTGAACTTAGCCAGTCTGACTGGGGTAAGATGAAATCTTAAAGTGGTTTTAATTTGCATTTCCCTAATTATTAGTGATGCTGAACATCTTTTAAGATTTTTCATAGCCATATTTACTACTTCTTTTGAGAACTCTCTGTTCAGCTCCTTAGCCCATCTTTTAATTGGGTTGCTTCTTGTCTTGACTCTGTTTTTTGAGTTCATTATATAGTCTAGAAATTAAACCTCTGTCACATGTGTCTCTGGTGAAGATTTTCTCCCATTCTGTGGGTTTTCTGTTTGTTTCCTTGGTTGTC